TTCCTCCAAGCTATACATGTTAAGATCCTTTAACCTTTCCTGGTAAGTTTTATCCCGCAATCCATGAACCAGTTTAGTAGCCCTTCTCTGAACCCTCTCTAAGGTATCAATATCCTTCTGAAGATACGGTCTCCAGTACTGTGTACAATACTCCAAGTGAGGTCTCACCAGTGTTCTGTACAATGGCATGAGCACTTCCCTCTTTCTACTGCTAATACCTCTCCCTATACAACCAAGCATTCTGCTAGCATTTCCTGCTGCTCTATTACATTGTCTGCCTACCTTTAAGTCATCAGAAATAATAACCCCTAAATCCCTTTCCTCAATTGTTAAGGTTAGGACTCTATCAAATATTCTGTACTCTGCCCTTGGGTTTTTACGTCCAAGATGCATTATCTTGCACTTATCCACATTAAATGTCAGTTGCCATTTTTCTAGTTTACCTAAATCATTTGCCATTTGGCTTATCCCTCCTGGAACATCAACCCTGTTACATATCTTAGTATCATCAGCAAAAATACATACCTTACCATCAAGACCTTCTGCAATATCACTAATAAAAATATTAAAGAGAATGGGTTCAAGTACAGATCCCTGAGGTACCCCACTGGTGACAAGTCCAAGCTTCGAATATATTCCATTAACTACAACCCTCTGTTGCCTGTCACTCAGCCACTGCCTTACCCATTCAACAATATTTGAATCCAAACTTAAAGATTGCAGTTTATTGATAAGCCTTCTATGTGCAACAGTGTCAAAAGCCTTACTGAAATCTAGGTAAGCAATGTCTACTGCACCACCCTGATCTATAATTTTAGTTACCCAATCAAAAAAATCAATAAGATTAGTTTGGCATGATCTCCCTGAAGTAAATCCATGTTGTCTCTGATCTTGAAATCCATGTGTTTTAGATGTTCAACAATCCTATCCTTTAACATGGTTTCCATCACTTTCCCCACTACTGAAGTAAGGCTTACTGGCCTATAGTTGCCCGACTCCTCCCTGTTACCTTTCTTGTAAATGGGCACAACATTCGCTAACTTCCAATCTTCTGGGACTACTCCTGTTAACAATGATTGGTTAAATAAATCTGTTAATGGTTTTGCTAGTACACCACTAAGCTCTTTTAATAGCTTTGGGTGTATTCCATCAGGTCCCATTGACTTATTTGTCTTTACTTTTGACAGTTGAAATAGAACCTCTTCCTCTGTAAACTCACATGTAATAAATGACTCATTTATCCTTTTTCTCAACTGAGGTCCTTTCCTTCATTTTCATCTGTAAATACAGAACAAAAATATTCATTGAGGCAGTCAGCTAGACCTTTATCCTCTTTTACATACCTTCCTTCTTTTGTTTTTAATCTAACTAATCCTTGTTTTACTTTTCTTTTCTCATTTATGTATCTAAAAATGTTTTGTCCCCCTTTTTTACTGACTGTGCTATTTTCTCTTCTGTGTGTGATTTGGAAGCTCTTATAACTTGCTTAGCCACTTTCTGCCTAATCTTATAGATCATTTTGTCTTCCTCACTCTGGGTTTTTTTATAATTCCTAAATGCTAACTTTTTGTTTTTAACTATTTTGGCCACATCTGCGGAGTACCACAGTGGTTTCTTGAATTTTTTGCTTTTACTGACAAGCCTAATGCAATTTTCTGTTGCCTTCAATAGTGCAACTTTTAAATAATCCCATATTGAAGTTTAATAAATATTTTTAATATCTGTCACCCGGGATCCTGGAATCTTTGTTGCTGACACTATCAAGCTCCTGAGTTCCTGTTGGTGTGACTTTCCAATATCTTTTCTACTTATCTCCTGGAGTGAGATGAAATGCGCTAAAAGTTCAGAGCCAACTTCTAATAGGCTCAAAAAATTGTGAGTTTACAGACTACTCCTATTTATTATATTTTATGTAAATACAGATTACACTATGTGTATGTACATTTATTTTATATAGGTTAAAGAACAATTATACACGAAGAACCTGTGATATATATGTTTATATATTTCATAAGGTAAATTCATTTCTGTATATGTGCGCTAAATCACTTTTTTTTGTTTGTATAATAAAGAAAACATAGCTGAATCAGAAGACATATCATGCATTGTTGCCCCCTGAATGTTCTTCACAAGTGTAATTGAAGGGAATATGATATTTAATATGTTGTTAACATATATGTAAACAATCCAATACCACATAAGTAAAATAGGACATTCAAATTTGGAAAAGGAAGGTTGCTGTCAACAAGTGCAGCGGAGGAGAAGACAACTCCAAAGTTATAACTTCTTCGTAGTTTTTTAGACTTACTGACTTTGTTAGGCAGGATTATGACATTTAAATGTCACATCCACAGCATGCACATAAGGGTGATAGGTACCTAAATGTTTGGTTGGACTAAAAAACAGATTATGTGGAGAGTGGAGGTTCACTAACTCAGCATTGAGTCAGGAATAGGATTTATACTGGTGGGAGAAAAGTGAAACTGTGAATGGTGGGTTGTTGTACTCTCTTTATGTCAAACAGAGTGGTATTAAGCATCAACTGACTAAATAATGTGTCATTTCTGGATATGGTAGAAGTAGCAAAGGAGGATAAAATGCACATTCTGTCCACCGCTACAAAGAGTACAACATTGCATTTACCATCTAAAATTAGGCTAGTGTGGGAATCGTATGTAAGGGTCTAATCCTGTGAGCCATAAGTTAATATGACTTGGAATGTGTAGAGAACAAAGAGCAAATAAAAAGGTTCTAGTGGTACTTGCAGTAGGGAAGTAGCAGAAATGAAGGTTCAGTTAAAATGTTATATATTTCTTTGGACAAATATTGCTCAGTTTGATATAAACATTCTGGTCTTTTATATTCATGAATTGTCCACGATAAAGCATAATATTTGATCAAGTAATTAAAATCATGGTGCTTAGTTAAGTGTAAAAGTATAGCATCATATAATACTTCAACACAGTGTGTAGGAAGGATACAAAGGTTAAAAACAAAAAAGGAAAAAAAGGAGTGAGAGATTGAAAGGTATGAAAGAAGTGGAATAGAAGGATAATTAGGACTATCAATAATAGGTAGGGGTAGAATAGTGTGGTACACAGGAATTACAATTGAAAAAGATAGGTAAGTAGAAAAGGTATTAAAACCCCCTAATGGGTTTGTGACTGACCGCTGGCACTCCGACTGAGTACCTCCGCCAATCGATGCTCCTAGCGCTTGCCGAGGACTCCGAGCACTCCAACTGACACCATCAGCACTGCGGACCCCACTTCCAGCGATGCAGCTGCGCCGGGGTCTTGCCGTCTCTCACTCACCTTGGATCCACGACTAGGATCTTGCTCCCAGTGGGTGAATCTCTCCTAAATCCAGAGAGCATAGCAGGAACAAATCAAGCTCTTACAAGAGCTTACTCTGGGGAGTAAGTGATTTTAGCAATTCCCAGAGTGTATGTATCCCTTCCCCCAAGCATGAGCCAAGGATTAAAGAAAGGTGCAAGTAGGTCTGGTTTATTGAGGGCTACCTGCCCGGTATTTATGCAAGTGTCCACCGGGTGGACACTCCCCTAGGGGACCTGATGGAACAATGGGACACATATTGGATATTAGCCAATCACAGACAATACAAACAAAACACTCCCACAGTGACATCACAATCCCTCCTTTCTATCCTGGAGATAATTGGGAAGTAATCAAATTATCTCCCAGGACAGAGGCAAGACTCCATTAACCACATGGTTACAAAAAGACATAAAATTACACAATGTTACAATTACTAGATAAAACATATACATGCAACACATCCCCATATAGCTTAGATCTGAGCGCACGTTATTACCGAATGGCGCTCAGATCACCTACATACAGTTCAATCGCCATGGAGCCAAAGTCTTTTTCATAGTCTTTTGTTACACGAATAGGCTCCATGGCATAGCTATCTGGGGTAGCACTACTCACATACTGAAAGTCTTGAATGCCCCAGCAGAAATACACAAATAAATCGTTAAAATACAGCTATCAGCACAGGGGCAATAGTCGGAAGGCAGGAGGCTAGCCAGTAGTCCCCTCCAGGCACAAGCACAGGGCTCAAAACACAGAATGTAATACTTTAAAGAAAATAAACGATAAAGAGGAACCCAGGATATGGTGTTAGATCATTAGTGGTCGGACTACAGGGTATAGTTGTATGAGAAATGCTATTACCTGTGATGCTAAAGTGGAAAATACTTATGGTGGTAAAATAAAATGTTTGGTTGAAAATGGAAAAAGAAAATGTAAACATTGAAGATATGTACAAGCACGCCATATGAATAATGAGTTAGATGTTCAGCAACCATAAAACAGGTTACTATGTACTTCTTCAGGAGTAGAGCTGGTCAGTTAGTGACATAATCCACCTTATTTACACAATTCAGCCTAATTTGCAAATGGCAAGCTTATTCAAATCACTTTCCAGATGGGATTGCAATTTTCAGGATAATGGCAAGAAAATCTTCTCTTCAAATTTTATCAAATAACTCCAACGGTTTTTGACACAAGAAAAAAAAAAGTGGGTTATTTTGCTTATATTTTAATTGTGCAATTCATTGGTTTTATTATAATATATGTTTGTACAATGTATATGTGCACATAGATGGAGCGATTGCTCTGTTTATGCACTATATACATCTACAGATAGATTCATTATTTATACAATAAATCCAGTAATTAATTACCTGTTATACATCAAAGCCTTAGAAAATTATTAATATGGTCTCTAGTGTACAAAACAGATTCAGACTAATTTCTATTTTAAATATTCCAAGTCATATGTAAATCTATAACCACACAGCATATTAACTGAGATAAAAGATGATTATCACCTTTGGAAAGAGCAGCAATTCTAGCAGTCTGTTGAAGCAGAAGCTAATGAAACTAATCCATAGACAGGGACAGGCCTGTGCAATGACCTTTCCATTCCAGTGCCAAGCGAGAATCTAGACAGAAGCTGAAATAAAGTCACTGGCCAGCTGTAAACTCTTAGAAATTTTAGCTGAAGTAAGAGAATTGATTTACATGATCGTAGCCTACACATCATTTAGCAGCTGTCAATTTCTTTGGTATTGCATTGTTTGAAAGCTGAAATTCTGCTAATGCTTTAAATAGTAACTTGCTTGTTTGTTCCAGACAGTAATAATAAGAAATGTTTCTTTTGCAAAATTTGCGGCTTAGATCATGTTCCAGAGGTAAACACCATAACAGAAATGATTTAACTCTCTGCTAGCAAAATTATATTCACTAAACGTATTATAACATTTTTATTTCTACTTCAATTCAGTTTATTGTAAACACAATACTTTTAAATTGTTTTAGCCATTATTTTCCTGTCTTGTTAAAATGAAAAACAAAATGGAATAGATAGGTAAATGTAGGGCATAGTTGTGCATAGCATAATATTCTTGCTACCTAGACTAACTGCACAGCACAATTTTAGATGGAGGGTGCCTTAAAAGAGGAGAAAAAAAAACTACTGAGGTATATCTCAACCATTTAATAAACCTCAAAACCCTGAGGACATTCACTGAGCCTAGTATAGCAACACAGGGAAACTGCAACCATGACAACCTCGGAATCCAATAAGAAGAGAGAAAAGTGGTGTGAAATAGAAGACAAAATGACTCTGAAGGGACTGAAAAATTGTTTTGTGACAATAGGTGAAGAGATTAAGGCTCTGCAGTATGTCTGAGCTGTCACAAACTTTCAAAGCCTGCACAAGAGATTCAAGCACCCTTGAAAATTCCATTGTCGTCACATAGGAAGTTTATGATAGTTCTCTCTGTGCAAATGAAATAAGAATTTAGCATAAGAAGAAACATTCTCTCTTTTCTTTTTTCTGTATTTCATATAAAAATAGGTGCTGAATTACTAAACATCTGTTTATGTCCACCCTGGTAACCCCGATACTGTTCAAATTACTTTACAGCAGCTGTTTATAAATGCAAAAAAGCTGGAGGACTTTTTATCATTCAATTTAGCAGATTGTGTTAAAAATTGATATGATGAATTATTGTGTAGGTATTATGTATTTAAATAACAACATCTCAGGTTTAGACATGTTCGCTGCTTTGTGAAAAGGACAATTTTTTTTTTTTACTTAGATATTTTATTTTCATTATCTACACTTCTGCTTACATAATGATAAAACACTACCATGCTACATGTGGATATACTATGTAGTAGAGCTACAAATAAACTTATATTATAGGAAATACAAGGTGATGAGTGCAACTGCTTAGCACAATCTAAACAGACTTCCAAACTGAGAACTATGTAAATAAATGAGATGAAGCCTCGTAAAAGGCTACTGCCACTTCCTACAACTTTTACATTTTGTCTACCTAGCCCCATAAATACCAGATGTCCATTTGTGAATTGTTAAAAATGAAATTAGATATAGAAATCAGCATTTCTTTATCTTGCAACTGTGTGCCTCCATCTTCCAGCTTCATATTAGTCATTGTTATAAGCTCTATCCTTTGCATCTGGCAGTCAGCATAGAGACAATTTGTAGAAAAAAAGAGGAATTCAATTTTTTTCTATTTCTCCTCTTAATTTGCTATATTTGCACTGCTTTGCCTTGTCTGAATTAGATTAAGATTGTGTTTACTAAATCTTTAATATAAAATTAAAAGAAAACTGAGTATTTCATAGGAAAAGACTAACACAATTTATAGATGATTTCCAATGTTTTATTCAAAGTATAAATACCGAGAAAGGGGCAATTCCCCTTTAAGGGTAACTAAAAAAAAATAAAACGACAGGCCTTCTTTCACAATAAGTACACAAAAGCCTTTTTATAGTGATCTGAATTAAATAAAAGTTTTGGACACAAGTATTTTAAGAGGTTATTTTCTGCATGTAAAAAATACATCATAAAACATTACTATATGTGTGAGTGTAATGTTTGTACGTGTGATCATTAAGTGATATGTTAGCAACAGCTTATTCTCAGTTTTCTTATCTGAACCACATGATTAATATTAATTGGACTTGGAGATTATTTAGTACTAAACTGCGATTCATCAGAATTTGGGTCGATCTGGTTAGCTCCTCACAACTAACTTCCAGAATCACGGAATAAATGAATTGTGCAATGCATAAATGTTTTTTTTTTTTCATGATTTTGAGTGCTGTTCCCTGTGGCTTAAAAAAAGGGTGATGAAATGGATAAAAAATGGTTTTATTTTTCTTGTGCAAGTAATTAAGCAGCTTAGCTTGCCATGGTGGACAAGTGACCTGGGATGGTTTGCGGATGTTGCGAGCAATGTAGTCCGTGACATCACTTCCGACAGCCATGATGGACCTACGTGACGTTTCCCCACAAACCACCAATGATTTTTAAGTACAATATTGGTGGTAATTACAATATCCATTAAAGGGCACTTAGTACAAGTGAATATGATTCATTAGAGGAGCAGACAGCCTAAATTTGACATAATTGGCTAATCCCAAATCACATGGGACTGAAGAGGAGTGACCATAAGACTATTAAAGATGGATAATTCCTGGGACTGGTTTACAGCTGACTGAAGAAGCTCAGGAGGAGTGAAACATGTTTTGGCTGGCAAGGACCTTTTATACAATGTGGACAGTGAGTTATACTTTTGTTTTTAGTATTACTGTTTTTATTACTTTTTTGTTCATAAATTGATATATTAAGAGTCCTTTGCAGGCTCAGAAACCTCTATTGGGGAAAGTGACATCCCCCTAATAGTGGCACTATAACTACATACCTTAGAGCCGGGACTTAGGCTTTATATAAGATGAGCTCAATACCTACCTCAAAAATGTATGGTGGCCATTTTTGTCTTCTTCTCTTTTTGGAGGGTATATTCTATTGAGGGAGTGGTGTGATACTGCATAACAGCTTTAAATACAGAGCCAATACATATAGGCTCCATCACATGTGATTGACCCGACTGTGACAGACCGCCATCACTGAGTACAATGCCAACTGCATATTTGTGTGTTTTCCCCTGTGTAATGTACGGTTCCCCATGTATGTCTGTGTATTTCGTGTTATATACCCTGTTGACCATTTGGGAGTGCTCACATGAATGGAATCCGTTTGTCTCCCAAACGTGGACCACCCTGGTACCCCATTAGAATGTTCACACCAATCAATCAGAATGCTCAAGCCATCAACATAAGTGTGAAACCACAAGGGAAGTAATTAATGAGTGCTACCCTGGGTGTCCGCCATTTGTATACGTGAACGCCACCCAGGGGGAGCATTCATATCCCGAAAGGAGACGCTTCCCTTGCGGGGTCTTCGCACCGGGGGTTGGTGGGGACACTGTTGGGGTACAGGTGGTTCTGATCACCCTATCTGCTCCCTATCTGCTCCTAATCACTACTTTCCCCTCCCGGGAGCTGCGAGGCCAAGCTCGTAGCAGCCCAAGAAGCACAGAAAAAAGAAAGGAAGGCAGCGCCACTATAAACCACATAAATTAAAAGAGCACAGAATAGGCAGACTAGAATACAATATATATGATAGATACTAAGCAAAATAGAAGTCCAGAATAAATAGTCTGACTGGTAGATGAATCAAACAACGAGGTATATCCTTGTAGAGGTGAATACAGTCTTTTGTAGTGGGGGATTCTTCAGAGTGGTGTAGATGCGTCTTTGTACATCATATGAAATGAGAAAATAACAACTGATGGTATAGTATGTCCCGAAAGGGGGTAGAAGCAATAAAAGAGTATATGGTCCTACTCACGTTTTCAAGAGCTATGGACTTAGCTCTAGTGTTGATAACGTACAGTGGTATAATCCCCACTTATGGGATACGTGAGGTCTTAGTATTCTTTCTTGATTAGGGGACCATATGTGGAAATAAAAGCAGGAACAACAATGGTGCTCAAAGTATAAAATGCCAGAGGTGAGAAGATAAAAAACCAAGTGGTTACTCACATTTAGTTGAACAGACTGACTGTTCAATGAATACAGCTTGAGTGGTATAATCCCCACCTAGGATTCTTGGGAGTAATATCCTCACTGGAAAGTAAAAACACTTCTGTGCCGGATAAAAGGATGGTAGTAATAAAAAAGTAAAATAATAATAGTAATAAAAAGTAAGATGGCTAACTCACAGTAAGAAAGTGGCCAAAATACCTTTATTTAAAACAATATAGTTTAAAAAACCACAACGCGTTTCGCCCTTAGGCTTTATCAAGTGGAGATCAGAAAGTACATCCTGTTACATACAGGTTTATATAGGCAGTGAACATATTAGAAAATGGCGGCAAAATGATGTCATAATTTTTTTTTTTATTTTTTTTTTTTATCAAAAGTGCTAAATTTTATATGTGTAAGTGAGTACATACCTATATGTAAAACATGTGATAGTTTAAAATTAAAAACGAGGTTTTAAACTCACAATACCTTACATATTCTATTTAGATACAACAGTCACATGATCGGTGGCCATTTTTTTTTTTTTTTAAAGTGCTAAACTTTATATGTATCAGTGAATACAAACCTATATTGGAGACATGTGATAGTCTAAAATTTAAATTAAAAACAAGGTTTTATACTCACAATACCTTGCATATTATTTAAATAGAACAGTCACGTATATAAGTCACATTGTATAAATATGTACTTCATGCACAAAATAATTATAAAAGATAATAAAATATAAGAAATATATTATAAAAAATTAATTATAAAAATTATAAAAAATTATAAAAAATTAAACAGGTCGAACTCTACATTAAGACCTTCGGGGGTAAGGGTTTTTAAAAGGAACACCCAGTGCATTTCTTTTTGTCCCAGTAATTTTTTGAGGTCACCTCCCCTCCAGGGTAATTTACATCTTTGGATCCCAGTACATTTTAAAAATTTAGGGTCTTTGTTGTGTTGGATAAAATGCTTTGAAACAGAGTGATTAGGGTAGCCTTTGATAATATTTCTACAATGTTCTGCTAACCTTATTTTTAAGCATCGTGTGGTCATACCCACATACTGGAGGCCACATGGGCACTCCAATAGGTATACAACATTCTTAGTAGTGCAACATATTAAGTCTTTAATAGGGTATGTAATACCGGTTTTGTTTGAGGTGAATTGTGTTGTCTTTGATGTGCTGTTTTGGTCAGTGGATCTGCAGACAATGCATCTGTTGCATTTGAAAAAACCTTTAGAATTTGATAAAAATGATGGATTGC